GAAAGATGCAGTTCAAAAAATACTTTCCTTCTTCTGTCCACCCAGCAGACTGCAGACCACTGTATTACTAGAACAGCCCATGTGTCTGTAAGTTGTTATTTTTTTCCACATTTGACTAGAAGCTAGTATACACAGACTCCACCTCATTATATCCAGCAGCCAGCAGTTCCAAAGATACTCTGACTAAAATTTCTGATGCTCTTTCTCTTACCCATTAACTAATGATTCTGCTTTGAGTCTCAATGTTTTCTTGTGGCTTGAAGTTTTAGAAAAGGCCAAATTAGGGTGGAGGGTGAAAGACTCCTTGAATTCCCGGTAAGGGCTTCCATGGGCAGAGACTCCTGCTACTCTTAGGCTACTCAGTGTCATCTCCTCCATGCTCTGCCCAGCAGTCCACTTGCACCACTACACCAGCTGAAGTTTTGCTCAAAGCAAGCTGCTTGCTTGTCTGAAGTCCACTCTATATAGGTTTACTGGATTACATGTATGTGTAATTGCATATCATGTGCCAAGAAAAAATAATTAATTTTCAGATTATTTTTTACCTGCTTGGCCAGCCAGACTAAAGCCTGCTTGGACACAGTCTGTCAAAACAGTGTAAAGTTCATTGGCAAAGAGTCTTCTTGCTTTGTTTTTGAATTGGAGAAGCATAGAAACATCTCCTGCACCAGGCTTCAGGCACTGCCCCCAGCTCTGTCTAGACAAAAAAATGACAGAAGAATTTCTGCCTGGCTCGGCAATATTGGAAAGAACATAAGGCAACTAAAACCCAAGAGAAATGCCCTTGCCAGGGCAGAAACTTGCCAGGAAGTTTCACTATTTGGTCTTGTGAGAGCTGAGCTGAAGGGCCTGTGCATGGACTGCCAGCAGCATCTGAGATGCACTATGGTATCAGGACCATCCACGTGGGACTGGGAGGTGGGACACCAGACTGAAGGGGAACTGGTACCCACTGCAGCAGCAGGACAAGACATACAAAGTAGATGCACATGCTCAGGCATGTGAATTAAGCGCCCAAATTCACAAGGTAGGGAGGAAAACCTGGGCACCATGAGGAAGGAGAAACATACACTCACATCTGGCACTCTGCAGCCCCATATTTGAGGTTAAGTTTCCTACCACAGTGAGAGTGATGTACTTGTAACTGACCGTGAGAGTCATCTGGCATGGAACCTGCCCCATCTAGAGCTACATTCCTCAAGACCAACATGCCACCTTCGAACAAAGTACAAATTCGTTTGTTAGTAAGAAAGAGACTGAAGTCCATCCAACCATTACTTGACTAATTAAACAGTAAAAATGTTCCATTTGTTAAGGAAATGTTTCAGATTACAGTGGGCCGAAATACAAATGCCACACACTTATCCAGGCATAATCTTAGCAGGGATTGGAGGTACCCTGAAGCAAAGTAAACCTGTCCTGCTGGAGATGAAACAGAGGAGCCAGGAGGAACAGTCACACAGAGAAAAGTCCTTGCCCCAACTAAGATTTAAAAATGCCTCATGAAACATTGTGTTGTAGAATTTGGATTAGAGCGCTAAAAAAATAGTGTCAGAAAGAATTAGCTGGTGCATTGTAATTATGGGTAGCAGAATGCAGTTTTTATGGCAACATGGTTCAGCTAAATCTAAGGCTCCTCAACTCTATTTTGACTGACTTAAAAGGCATTAGTGCATGCATACCTTGATCTCTCCTTCTATATTGATCTTTTAGACTGTGGTAATTAACAGCTTTTAACATTTCTTAATCTTTTTCTTGGGAGACAGTGTGAAGGCAACCAAGCAGCAGCTAATGCAACAATACAGGGAGTAGCTGCCAGCACAGCTCTGGTCCTGGGAGGTGGGGGTAGGGACAGCAGGAAAACTGCTTTTGTTTAGGCACTTAAAGTACTAATCCTGTTTCTTTACACCACAGCTAGGAGCATACACAGACCTACAGATGCAGCAGAAGTCATATAGATCAGTCTCTGTTGCCAGGCTATGATTTGTCAGGCTTTTGGTGGAGTTGAAAGGAAAAACTGAAAATACCTGGCAAAGCTTGTTGCATGCCATGCTGTGCACTGTTATGCTTTCACGTTCATCTGCTCTTGCCTACTGATTTTTCACTTGTCACAGTCAGTGATCACAGCCACCTGGCAGACATACATAACTGATTGTAAGGACAAGACCTTATCCCATCAATTTCAAATGTGCAGTGAAGACCCAGGACAGCTACCTTGCCTGCAGGGTTGCAGCAGACCACAGGAGAGATTCCTGGGAAGCCCTGTCTCTAACCAGACATTTCTTCGTGCTGAGTGCAAAGCTAGCGGTGCAACTCCCATATCTGGATGTTTAAGCAATGATTTTAGAGTCAAGAAACAGCTAAATAGTGAAGAAACCCTCTTTTTGGAAATCAATAGAGCTTTTATATATGTCTCTGTTTGCCAAGTTTGCCTAATTATCCCATAGTTAAACACCTAGAAAGCCTCTTGTACCCCTTACCTAACACCAGCATACAGTGATGCACTAGCCCTTAGCCCCCTAGTAGGGACCTCTGAACCAGGCACAAATCTAGCTAGCACATATCATTTAATGAACAAACAACAGCCCCACTGCTTGCAAAGGAGCTAATTTGATGCTTACAGCTGCCACTGGTCAAATGTGTTTGCAGGATCAGGGCCACTAGAGTAACGAGCTGGAAATCTAACAAAAGGCTTTCCACATATATCAAGAACTCCAGAGAAGAAAGTAACACTCATGCCTGAGTTTCAGAGGGCACAGGGATGACAAAAAGTAGAACAAAGAAAATTTAAAAACAAAAATAAAAGCTTTTGTCAAAGATCAACTTCCACGCCAAAGCCACAGTACTGAAGGCCTGGAGATTTCAATATACAAAATTTAGTAGTGGCTTCCTGTAGAGTTCCCAGATTTTCAAAAGCTTTTCAAAGGATTTCCAAAAGAACTTTGGGATTTGGTAGCTGTATAGACCTTCACAAGTAACATGGTACAATACAAACAGAAGTAGTCGCAAGAGGTAGTGCAAGGCCATTACAGAAACGTTATACACAGCTGGAAGACTTTACTTTGATTTAGTTTGGTCCCTGGCCCACACGTGCATGTGGTACAAACCTGTTCAAAGGAGCAGTCAGGGGCCTGATCTGTTTTAGCACCGTAGAATCATTTAGGTTGGAAAAGATTTCTAAGATCTTCAAGTCCAACCATTAACCCACACTGCCAAGTCCAGCACTAAACTATGTCCCCAAGTGCCACATCTACACATCTTTTAAGTACCTCCAGCGATGGTGACTCACGGGATCTAAGCACAACTGGTGCAGGCCTAGAACAGAGCTTTCAGTTTCACTTCTTCCAGAAACAATCTAGTTTGCATGCAAGCAGAAATGACTGAGGTACTCACTTCAAAATCACATTACCAGTCTGAACTAAAACACCGAATGTGGGCACAGCCACAAACTGACTCGCAGTGAAAGACCACCCAATGCCTGGGGAAAATTCCAGTGTTAATTTTTCCTAACTGTAAAAAGTTAGAACCCAGCTCTGCCCTGAGGTGTTGAGCATACCTGCCGTGGCTGATTAACCTTTGCTCCTGAAGAAAGTAGCAGTCGGATGACATCCAGATAGCCTCCTTGTGCTGCCAGGAAAATTGCAGAAGCTCCATCCTAACAACAAACATATCCATCTTACATTGTGTTGAAATTATGCCATTTTTCCACGCAAAATCAAATGAAACTGAACCAAGTTCTCAGTCTTAAGACATTTTGCTGAGTAATAGCAGATATACAGCCATCCTTAAGAAATAATTGCCAAAATCCAAAGTCTAATTCATAATAAACTATGGTAACATGTTAATTCAGTATGCACAAGTAGTGGATCCCATCATATATTTTATCAACCTGAGCATTAAATCCTGGGTCTGGAATAGTAAGAGGCTTATTCATTGAATCATTGATCTACATAACTAGAGAGTGTCTGTCTGTCTGTCTGTCTATCTATCTATCTATCTATCTATCTATCTGTCTCTCCTGTATAGCAGTATAGGTTCATTTAGCTTCCACACGTGCATGCAGAAGTGTTCTGCTGTATAAACACATGGTGAAAATATGTTCAAGTACTTTGCTAGACTGGAGACTCCAGCACTGAATTCTGCCCTTGAGGCTGAGGAGTAATGACTGTGTCATACTACTGTGCCACACTACTGTGCCACTCCAGCAACTACCATGCCACTGCTCTGACACATCCTGTAGAAGAGACTGTAATATTATGATCTAAAATATTATGTAGCTCTATTAGAGCCCAGTGTTTTCCTACAAAAACCATGTGAAAGAACAAATTGTGAACAAATATGGGGTTTCATCTTTCTTCAACATGTCTTTCCTGTGCAGATACTCTCAGAATTTGACTTCACAGAAACTCCTTCTTTAGGAAGAAAATTTAAAAGTCACATTTCATTAAGTTTTTTGATGAAACATTTTCAAACAGCATTATAATCCATCCAACCAACTGGAAGCAGAAATCTCTACTGAGGGTGGGACAGGTGTTTACCCATCCTAGATCCACAGCACTTAGCACAGAACGTGCTAGAGCAGGTTTTCCCAGGAGATGAGACTCTCAGTTTAAATAGAGACATGAACGAACCCCTTCACTGCATCTCAGATGTGCAAGTACACATCTCACGCCAACTCAGGCAGATGCTTATCACAAAATGCTGGGCATTTTAGTGAAAGCCTGTTGTTGACCTTGTTGGCGTATCACTATGTTGGGACTGAATACTGCTGTCTGCTGAGAGAGTGCTTAGTTTCTTCTCTTCCTGCAAAACTCAGCACAGACTTGGTGAAGCATGAGCTGAATATGGTGCCCCAGGGACTGAATGTAGAATGTTTGACATTGATTTCAAGACAAATATCCTGGTAAGCAAAAGAGGTGTCTGCTGGTACTGTAAATATGCATCCCTGGGCACTCTGAAGGGCTGTTTTCTCTGGTTGCTATGTGGGTATATGAGAAAGGGTGATGGGTATCAGAGCCTTTGCAGGCTTTCTCCAGAGACAGGTACAGTGAGAACGCTTCAGTTTAGAAAGTAAACAAGGTTGTGTAATACTAGAAAAGCTCTTTATTGTAACATCAGTCAAGATGGAGAACTTTCCATTCCCTGTCACCTCTTGGGTTTGAATTGATGCTGTAATGGGAAAGCTGTTTTGAGGCTATAATATATTTCTGCAAGAAATACAATTTAGTTAGGGTATTCCCTTGTCTTCTCTCCTGATCCCTCATGTGAGTCAATTTAAGACAAAAACATCATCAAGTTTTGGGAGAAGTACCCAAATACATGCTTAAAATCCCTTTCATTTGGTTGCCTGTCAGTGAAAATGCCACCCAGATATCACTTTGCAAATGCAGCTTGGCCATGTCCCACAAAAGGAGCCAGGCTAGTGTTTATTTTAAAGAGATCATGTTCTTATTTTATTAAGCAGCTGTTTCTGACTGGCTTTGCCCAATGTCTGTGAGCAATAAAAATACATGTCTAAATCCAATTGCAAATATTGCTCATTTCCAGGAGACACCACAAGGAAGTTATTTTACTGCCTTCACCTCTGGGTAGGTGTTGGCAGGCGTGGCAGCATGGCTATTTTTAAACTGAGTGGCAACCCCTGAGATTACCATGCAGAGGTATGAATCACTGCCCTCAGAATGACAACTGCTATTTGCACAGCAGTGAGGGTGGAAAAGCCTTCTTTATAAATCCAGGGTGAGTGCAGCACAGAGGTGGGGAACCCCTGTATGACTGTGCACAGGCCCCAGTGTGCTGGTGGATTCTGCAGTCACCAGCCCTGGGCTCCCATGCATACTCGTGGGAGCTAACAGTGAAACAGCATCCTGCAGATCCAAAGCCAATGGAAACAGCTGAAAAAAACTTGTATATCCCCAGGGGAACAACTTGCTTGTTGCAGTCTTGAGTGCCCTGGAGTAGGAAAGAGCGGTGGGAAGCAGAGGGAAAATGTGCCACTCGTTTCTGTTGAATGCTTGCTCAATTTATCTGTGCCTCTGTTGGAGTAAATTAAATCCAGAACTTCACTGGCTCAATCCACCTTTCTGAAAAGTCAACTAAACCACATCAGTTCAGCCATTTTAACCATTCTTTGCCCAAAACACCATCAAACCGAGGATTCACAAATATCAAACAATATAATTTTAACTGATATTTTCAAAAATACCTTGAAGACATTTAAAGATTTTAACTTTTACTACCCTTTCTGGCAGAAAACTGATGTCTCTAGTACCTCAGAGGCTTTACAGCTATTCACTCTTCTGCAAATCATGGTAGAACATGATTGTTCAAGGCTAATGGATAGCACAAGTCTGATCCAGATTTGATGGTTACATATCCTTCATACAGGTAATGAACCAAAAGACAGCCAAAGCATCTTTTCTGCTTTTGTGCTACTTCTCTCAGCATTATGAAAAGCAAACAGTTAACAAAATTCACATCTTAGAAGAGCAGAGTACTATAAAACCACAACGTTTGGCAAACACCTCTCTGTGCTGGAGCCAGAGTGTCTCCTGTTGTCCAAGCAACAGCACATTTGTTCCACCACCAGTGTTGTCAATATTAGCTGTGTCAAATAACTCACATAAAGTTGATCGTGAATGTTGGCACCGTGCTTCAACAGAGTTTCCACTACTTTTGCATGCCCATACTGACAGGCAGCTAAAAGAGCTGTACCTCCATCCTGTGAAAAAGCAAAGGGGAGAATAGCAGGTGAGAGGGCAGGTGCTGGACCAAACATCACCATAAAAAAAAAGTGCCAAATCTTAAGGCTTTTCAGAACTTGGCTCACAGCAGTTCTGTAGTGACTAGCTACTGAATTTTTCATAATTTTAGTACCACGTCTTGCCACATAAATCTTTACACTCAGCTCTATTACTATAACTTTTCTCCTGAGTTTTTTTTAGGGAGGGACAGGAAGTAAGAAAATTTTGCTTTTTGTTCCTCATTTTCTGTCTTCCCACTACAAGCTTTGTTCTCTTCACAACTTCAAGCTCCTTTTACAGCCAAATCCCTCATGCCTGCCAAGCTCTTTCACCTATGGAAGGACAACATGCCATTCTGCTGCTCCAAAGCCTATCGATCATTTGCTCTTCTTTGGGCAGAACCTTGTGCCCTGTTGTGTCCTGCCTCTCATCTGTGGATTCTTGGCCTGAAGATGAGTAGTGAGGAAGTATTTTTAAAGTACACTAGTTAACTGTGGAAGTGTGAATTGTACCAAACCCAGGACCATCAGTGAAAGTCCTGTTACTTCTGCTTAATAAGTGATCCCTGTAGATAGGATCAATCCTGGGCAGTTATAGTTGCTATACATCACCACTAAAGGGAGACCTAGGCACATGCATCAAATCCTGCTTGTAGAGACACTTCCTGGGGAGCTGTCTGAGAAAGGAAACACCTAAATGTTGCTGGCAATTGACTCCAAGCCAGCTGAAAAATGTGAGATAGCGAACGTGGGTCTTGCTGTCTTAAGTTCACTGTGCCCCACTCAAAAATGACCAGTATTTCTGACACTTACATGGAGAGGAAGTTCTTCTGCCTGGGATGGCACCATGCCATTGTGCGAAGACGATGCACACCCCAAAATATCCACACCACAGGTCTTCTCTCTCCTTCCCTGCCTTCTCCCAGTCTCAAGCCTCTCCTCCACAAGATAAGCTATCTAAAGTATTTCAGACAAATGGTTTCTAGAGCTGTTGTGAATGTGGGCACAAGATTTTGTTTTCCCTCAGACTTATCCTCTGAAACAGCTCCAAAGTTTTGTCTGAAATTTTCTACACAGGCAGATATCCACAAAAGAAATTACAGCTTGAATGGCCAAATGGATCTTTTATAATGGGAAATGCCAAGCTAATTTTTTAATTGGTGGTGCTGTTTCGTGGCTATAACAGCCTCATGAAAACTCAAGCTCTGACGTGACTGAACTAACCCACAGGCAGTGTTTATAGCTGCCCTCATATTCACCCTTCCTCCCTATGACACTGAAAAGCAAAGAAGACCTGAGTGTCAGCAAAGTCACAGATATTAAGTTGTTATGTGACAATCTAAGAATTGCCTATTAATCTGTATTATTTGAATAAATATAGTGTGTATTCAGGTCAGTGGACTCAAGTTTCTCTATAGCTACGAGTCATTAGACCTTCCTGTCAAATTAAACTATCCTAATTTAATAGGAACTGCTGGAACAAAACACAAAAGCAATCACAATGATTCCTGGATTAAAAAACACCTTATACACACTTAAAAGACAATGGCCAAAAGCTAATAGCCTCGTGAAACCTATTTTCTTTCTCCAAGCACCTCGCTCAAGTGGTGACTTACCAGATCAAAGGACTAAAAACAAATAAATAGAGATTTTTAAAAATACTTGTCCCCTGAAGGAAATGGAGAGAGAAAGGTTAGTGAGATAAGAAGAGAAACTGTGCTATCCAGACTGGAGGTCCTCTGTGGCGAGACAGGGAGGGACAGGTTTTAGGAAGCTTAAAAATGCTGAGGTTCTTTTCATGGAGAGTAAATAGAGGCGGCTCAGAGATGTGTATATGGGAACAGTTTGCTTATTGCTTTGTTATGGTCTGGCTTTTGTTTTCTAAAATTCTTGTGTTTTCAACAAGCATGTTTCTGTTTAGACTGTTGTTTAGTTACTGATAAATGTGTGTCTGATGTACAAAGCTGAAAACATTCAACAGAAGGGACTGGGATTGCTCTGCATGGTCTGGGTTGGGGGTACCACTGTGAAAAAACCCCAGATATAAATCTTGCTGTAAGAAAGGGGAGTAGGAGCAAGGAATCTTTTCCACTGACCATGCAGTAAAATGGCACTTTGTTAAATCAAGGAATTGTCAAACAGTGTGAAGGTCCATTGTTTCTTAGAAGGAGAAAACTCAGTTTCCCCCTCACCCACGTTGATCTTTCATCTGGCTTTCTCTTATGCTTTACTTCAGCAAGCTCTAGCTGGAGACTCCAATGTTCTCCAGACCATAGGTAAGGCAGGTAAGTTATGTGGGGGGAAAAAAAGCAAATGGCAGAGTTTTAATATTGCTTTCAGCCATCTGATTCCCTCTTTCCTTTTAGGCTTCAGCTGAGAGAAGAAAACAGCTGAAGCAGCATCTTTAGTACTGGCAAGCCTCTTGGAAACTCTGCGTAGGGCAGCAAGTGGGAGCTGGTCACATGAGCAAGCACTGAGGCACTCCTGGGGCAATCACCCTTCTGCAGGGGCAGGAGGCGCCTGTGCAGCCTCTGAGGGAAGGCACATTGCCTTAGGTTCATTTCTTGCTCATATCCTGTTTTCCTGACACAATGAAGCTGCTATTAATCCTGCACTGCAAACCCTTCCAGCTCCAATAGGAGCCACTTCTCTCAGCTAGCTCTGCAATTCTTCCCCTGAAATCATTTTTCTTGCCCCCACAGTGTCTGTCCTCCTCACTAACAGCACATAATAGCAGCTGCCAATCTCCAGTGTAAGTACGTGAAACTGCAGCACCCAGTAAGACCATGCCAACTAGTGTAGACTTTCCTATTTGCCTACCCCTTCCTTCACCTCTGTCATCATCACCTGAAAAAAGCTTAGAATTCTATGTTGGTTTACCATCTCTGAAATGGGAGGGGAACTGATCTGCTGCAGTCACTACCTGCTGAAAAATAGCCTCTGACATACCATTCCACCTGCAGCACTGCCCAGAAAACATGCCACCATGCAAACCCTGTTAAGAATTCACATGCTTATAACATCTATCAGAATAAAAGGAAAAAAGTTTCAACTGATGTTACATACTGCTAGGGATGTCAGACTGGGACAATGCAGAATAATACTATTGAATAATATGTATATTATAATGCATATATAATAATTAACCTTCAATAGTACTATTCATTCTATTTACAACATCAGCATTTATTGCTAATTATTTTATTACACTGTTTTAAAACATGTTTGCTTTGCCTGCCATAGCAAATATCAGCTGTAATGATACAAGGGGTAGCAAGAATTGCATAACTATACTAAGATATTTCTCCAGCACTCTCATATATGAGTAACAAATGTAGCAATTACAATTTACAGACAAATACATGAAAAATATCTTAATTTTGCATTTTCTTGCTTTAAAGTCTCTGTCTTCCAGGATATATTCAATTTGTTTGCTTATTTCAATTCCAGTCTCCATTTATAATAGAAATACATACATTCTTTGCAAATTGATTAATTTTGAAGTGCCCTTTAAAAACAGATAGGATCAGTCACATCTTTTCCTGCTCCCAGCTGAGTGCCTTAGTCAGAAAATGCATCATCTCTGACCAGAAAAAGCATATTTTGTCAGCTCTATTGTTTCTGGGGTTTGGGAGGGATGGAGGAGCCTATTACCTTGGTCAGCTGTTAACAGAACCATAGAATAATTCCAAGCTATGAAAACCACACTATTAAACCAGAAAATTGAACTGATACAAAACCACACTAGAAGGCCAATGGAAGATTTGCTTTGCCAAAGCACTGGATCTCACTGGTGCTTCCTGCTCAGGTACATGTTGCTGCACAAAGCATAAGTTAGATTCCTACCCAGTCTCAGTCTAAAGATTTTGTGGGTTACCAAAGCCCAGTCTGGAAAATGTAAGTAATTGGGTTCCTGCATCTAGATCTTCATTTCAGAAGAAGAGCTGCAGTACCCAAGAAAGGTACAAGTGAAAGAATGAATATGGAAATTTCCAGGATAGCACCTAGCAAAGCCCTCATACCACTGTTCAGAGAGCACAGATCCTTGCAGCAAAGAGGGTGTGGACATGATAGGTAACCTCAACTTTTTAAACAAGTGTCACTTTAATCTTGCACAGATTCATGCTAACTTAGCTATCCCTTGTTCAGCTTCTAAGAGCCTTTTCAGACACTATAACTTCTGTCACACTGTGAGTGCTGAAGTTACTGATACACCTGTTGAAGAAGTGTGAGAAGGAGGAAGTGCTTGGACAGGCAGGTTGGGTGATGCTGCTGGAAAATACCCTCACAATCACATCACGCACTAGTTTCTTATGTTACATCCACTGGGAGTTGGTGTTGCCTTACAACCAGTTTGTCTAGAAGTGGCAGAAAACTATGGCCTGGAGAGGAAGAGCAAACTGCAGCTTAAATGATACTTCAGATAGACACATGAGTCAAGTCAGGTCCAGATTCAGAAGAGGTAGTCAGGAAAAACTTGGAGCAAAGTTTCAAGGTAAGCAACAGTAGAGGCCAAATATGCATTTGTCCAAATATGGAAGCCATTTGGAGCAGCTGAATGCAGGAATAATTTTGTATAATTTAGATCTTTGCTCCCTTTAATCTGTCCTAATGTCTCAGATCAATATATTTTGCATGCTTCATAAAAGATGATATGTTTTCATGAAAGATCAGACAATTTCAAGCCTGTTGTTCACCTTCCAGATCAAATCTTGGCCTCCTAACAAACTCCTAGTTCACAGGCTGTAGAAAGATTAGGCAAAAATGTAACCATCCCTCTAAATAGTAAGCCTCTGTCTTGTAAGCAGCTGAATGCAAGGCAGGATGATCCTTCTGAACCTTGCTAACCCTCACCTATACCTTGAAATAAAAGTCAGAGAAGCAAACCTTATTTTAATGTGCAGCTTCTCCCAATAACTCTGTCCCACATGAGATTATCCAGCACTTTAAAATCTAGCTCTTGTATTTAACATTGCAACCTCCTGCATTGCCATTTCCCACAGCTGCACTCCATGTTGCATTAAACAGTCACAATTT